TAGAGTTTAATGTCCCGTGATCCATTTTAAGCATTGAATCGGTTAAAAATGTGTCCTACTTTCAATKTAAAGGCCAAACTAAATGAATGTCAGATCCAGTCTCGTATTTTAATACTTTCTGATCATTGCAGCCATGTGGTTTAAACAGGGTGTTATGGTAATATTTGTCTAACAAAGCCAGAAATACATGGTCCAAGAATGAAGGTACTCCGTGAGATGATCAGCTGAGTTTTATTGCAACAACAGGAAACACAGAGAACAACCTGGCCTGTCTGTGTGCCTCTGCTTCTCTCTGTCACTCCACTCCACACCACTACTGTTGAACACTGTTGAGAGGCCTCATATATATATTAACAAACACCATTCTGTCATCTTAGCAAGATTTGATACAGGGTCAATGGAAAACACAAAGATAAACACAAGTGATATATCTAAGAATGACTGTTGTTAGCAAATCTTGTTCTAACTTTAGTCATTCTATCTGCAGATGAACAGCATGTCATGAAAACCTAGGTCGTTAAAGGTTGTCATGAATTACTTGCTTGAACATAAAAGTATTAGTTCTATTACACAGAGAATGAGAGTTAGTGTGTCTCATCAATGTGATCTTTCTGTCTGTATAAACAAAGCTGTTTACCTTCTAACGTCTGACGTAAAAGGTAGCACCTCCAGGGGTGTGAGCTGGAAGTCAGACACACGTTAAGATTCATCATTATTCAGTTTGTCAGTTTTTTGTGGTCAGTCTTCTCTTAGAGCAGCCAGGCACAGAGGCCAGCTGTCTGAGAGTTTATTGTTATTGTTATCATTGATGCTGTTCTGATAAGACCCAAGGCCGTTTTACTTTGAGGCCTGAAGGCCTGGCTGCTGTGGAGCTGAAAGGAGTCAGATTTGGAATAAAGTTTGTAAAAGACCATAAACTAGTTTTCTGCTGTTTTATTCAGACTTCCATTTATTTATCACATATTTCTTTACAGTTTGATTCAGTAACATTGCATGCTGGCTACTGCACCAAACGTTTGCTTTTTGTCTTTGGACGCCTCTGCTTTTCTCTTTGAACAATAAATAAAAAGCTGCCTGTTCATTTGTTACAGGTATAGTGGGAGACATTGTGTTGAATCACACACCACTGAGAGGGTTCACCACATTCTGCTTAGATTTAAAGCCAAGCTTCATAAAAAGGTTTGTAGTCTGAATTCCAGCTATCACCCTCCAAACAAATCTATGCATGGCATCAAACATTTTTCTAGTTGAAGAGATTTTAACTTGCATTTTATGACACAAGGTTTCAAACCTTTTGATTCATCCTAGTGTAAGAAAATGTGAGAAACAGTCAGAGTTGGCATTCTGATAAATGTTGATTCAGTTTTTCTCCACCCCTTCTAGATTATCGAATTCAGATCAGTGGAAAACTGACTTCAAGTCACWGTCTGTCCCAGGATTCCTCCAGGCCACACTGTGTGTGGATGGTCCACCCAAAGACACTTTCATKAAACTCACTGTGAGTCTGCAGGCTAAGCAATACTGTCTACTAAACTTCACATAAAGATAATTTATCATTTTAGATAACATTTCTTGCTGATATGTTAAAAATATTTATGTATCATAACAGTGTATTTATCCACAGGGTTGGGGTAAAGGAGTTGTRTTTGTCAATGGGCAGAACCTTGGCCGTTACTGGATCATTGGCCCACAGCATTTCCTTTATCTCCCAGGCCCTTGGCTCAGATGTGGAGAGAATCAGGTACAATGTTGACTGCAAAGTAATTCAAGTTCATATTATCAGCTTTTGATCAACTAGGGAGGAATTCTTTGTGTCTTTGAACCATTTTTAATGCTAGTTTGAAGCAATTGTGTATGTAAAACAAAATAAAATATTTTTTTGCTTTTTCTTTCAGATTATTGTTTTTGAGGAGCAAAAAGTGGATGAAAAAATACTGTTTGGGGAAAATCCCGATCATGGAAAAACCATTGATGTGTACAAACTTCCCTTCTGCACACTGCTGTAAAAAAGAAAAAGGAAAATGACAAAAAAAGCTGTTTTTGTAATAACATTTGCAACAAATTACTGCAATGCATTAGTGTAGTTATTAAAATGTAATTAATAAATGWAGGCATCGGTTTTTCATAAGCTTATTAGTAAACTAAACGTGTTTGTTAATTTTTCACAAATTTGAAAATCGTAAAAGCCTAAGCAATCTTCTGTTATCATTTCAGTATGAACTTTGCTCTGGTTAGATATGATCTGATTTGACAGTGAGAAACTTTAACAAGCGTATCATTGGACTAAACTCTTGTCTGTCACTTCATTTGCACCGCCCACATTTGAACCGAACGTTGCACAGCCATATTGGAAATTGCTTCGACGCAACCGGAAACCAAGCTTTTTATTTCACAATAAAAATAAAAATTATATAGTAAACTTTATTACTTAAAAAATTTTTAAAAATCTATTTAAAAATCCATTAAAAATTATGAAGACAAATATAAATGTATATCAAATACAATATATACCATAAAACATGCAATTAAAACGCGCAGATTGCCAATGCGCATTTATTTTGAAAATACGTAAGGGAAGCACGTCCTATTTCTTTTGCTAACTTGATCTGAGTACAAGTGTTGATTGAGTCGGCGTCCCTGCTGAGGGAGATTTGTCATTTGGACCTGTAAAGCTACCAGAATGGCCTTCAAARGGGTTTTTAATTGACTTTAGAAGTATTAGCTGTGCTGTGCATTTACTTGCAAATCGAAACATTTGCAAAGTTCACACTTTTAACAGGAGCTTCTGCATGTTTTAGCCTAGCACGAATCAAGCTAAAAGTAGGATACATTAACTTTAGCTGAGTTTTATTTGTTTTATAAGTAATATACCCCGACATGGAGTCGTTTACATGCGTCGCCAGTGTCCTTTCATGCTCTGCTTGCATCGCAGTGGTTGGGCTCGTGCTTGCTGCCTACAAACTTGGCGTAATTTACCAGTTGTTTCACMAGGTAGGTGTTTACAATACGCCATTCATTTACCTGCCTTTCTGTTACGCTGTGTACTATCTTCAATGCAGCGTTGCACAGTGCGGTCGGTGTAAATATTATCTGTAAACATCATCTGTGCCYGGATCAAAGTTGTCACAGGTCTCAAAAGGTAAGCTGATTCCCCATTCACATAAACTTTGACCAGGTTTGTGGTAGAAGCACAAAGGCTGTCATCAAACAGCCTCAGGTTGTTAGTGGGACTGCACAAAGCCAAGGAGCACACCACCACAGGTCTGAATCGTGCTGCTGTTGTAAAACACGGGTGTGTGTGTGACAGGTGACCTACCAGGGAGGGGCTCCCATCTCATAGTGACATTTGTTTATTCAGGGCACTTTACAGCTAGTTTAACCACTTCAGGTTTGTGTTATTAACACATTAACTGGACATGTTTTTTTATTCTATTCCCTCACTTCATTCAGACAGAGACAAAGAGCCCACGGCATGGYGGTGAGAGCGTGGCAGAGGTTCTCCGCTCACACGGAGTCAAGTTTCTCTTCACCCTTGTTGGSGGGCACATCTCGCCCATCCTGGTGGCTTGTGAGAAGGTTGGCATCCGTGTTGTGGATACGAGACACGAGGCCACCGCCGTCTTCGCTGCAGACGCTGTGGCAAGGCTCTCAGGTATGGACTAGAATCAGTGTTTCCCAAAGTTGGGGGTCGGGACCGTGGGGTCCTGAAAAGATTTTCAGAATTAATTACATTTTTGCCTTAGTTGTTACAAAGGAGTGAAG